TTGCTGTGCTACAGAAACTTGGCTGAGAAAAGATGACAATGCTAAGTTTTCTGAGATGAAAGAACTTGGATATTCCATTCATAGCCAGCCAAGAGCTGGGCGGGGAGGAGGTGTTGCTGTTCTATATAAGAAAAGTCTTAAAGTGACTCCTCAGAAGTGCAAGCGATTCAAAACGTTTGAGTCTTGTGAATGTACCTTCAAATCATCTTCTGGAGATATACTACGAATTGTTTCAATTTACCGTTCTGGCACCTCCACATCTCAGAGTGCTAACATCCCCCAATTTCTAACTGACTTTGAGCAACTCTTGGTTGATTTAGTAGACAAACCTGGAAAGCCCTTGATCATGGGTGATTTTAATATCCACATTGAAGACGAAAATGATTCAGTTGCACAAAGGTTTAATTCACTACTTAAGTCTTGTGGGTGGGTGCAACAAATTTCAGCTGCAACACACAGAGATGGGGGCATATTAGATCTTGTAATTACCAGGGATGGTTCTTTTACTCACGATTGCATTGAAGTTCTAGATCCTGTCATTACTGATTCTGGTACATCGTCTGACCACTACTTTGTTGCTTTCAATTGCAATGTATCTCCAGCACCCATAGGCACTCTAGAACCAATTATTTACAGAAACATTGCTTGCATAGACCTAGATGCTTTTGTTGAGGACATTCTTAAGTCAAAACTATGTGACACTGATTGCTTCAATGACCTCGATAGTGCAGTTGATATCTATGAGTCTGAGTTGAGCAGTATTTTGGACAAGCATGCTAAAGAAAAAACTTTCATCCCAAGAAAAGATCATAACGCTGAATGGTGGTCTACACACTGTCAACAAGCAAAAGCAATGAGAAGAAAGATTGAGAGACTGTATCAAAAGAATCATGATTGCCCAGATTATAAACGACTGTACAGGAAAGCATCAGAGAGAGCATCCTCAGTCATTGTATCCACAAGAGATCACTTCTACAAAACAAGGTTACAAGATAGTGCAGGTGATGCTAAAAAGACTTATTCCATCGTTAATAAGTTGCTCAATAAAGAAAAAGTTAGTACTACTACACCTTCTTGCTCTTCAAATCTTGAGAGTGCTAACAACTTTGCACAGTTCTTTAAATCAAAGGTCGACAACATATACAACAACATTTATTTAGAACAACAATCCCAAGATTCTCCTAACTCAGATGAATTTGTTCCTCTTTCTAATAGCCCAAAGATAGTACAATTCCGTCATGTGTCTGATGAAGAACTAGTAAGCATCATAAAGAATATGTCTAACAAATTCTGTGATCTTGACCCCATACCTACAAAGATTCTCATCAAGTGTCTCCCAGAACTCCTTCCTCTGATCTCATTTATAGTCAATGAATCATTAGTTAAAGGTGAGTTTCCTATAAAACTTAAGGAGGCTCTCATTCGTCCAAGTTTGAAGAAACGTGGCCTTGACGGTGAATCTCTATCTAACTATAGGCCTATTAGCAATCTCTCATTCTTGTCAAAAATCATTGAGAAGTGTGTATCTATACAGCTCACCAGTTATCTTGAGGATAACAACTTGCTTTCTAAAGTTCAGTCCGGCTATAGGAAGTTTCATAGCTGTGAAACTGCAACAACCAGAATCCATAACGACATCTTGATAACTATTGACAAGAAAACTAAAGTTGTTCTTTTACTTCTAGATTTGAGTGCTGCCTTTGATACTGTCAATCACCCAAGATTAATCAAGAAGCTAAGATCTGCTTATGGCATTACAGGCATTGCTCTTACATGGATCAGGTCCTACTTGGCTAACCGTTCATTTTGTGTCAAAGTCAAGGATTCGTCTTCCTCAGCAACTGTTCTTGAGATAGGTGTGCCACAAGGTTCAATCCTTGGCCCCCTGCTATTCATATTGTACACCAAAGATCTTGAGAACATTGCAAGTATGCATGGGTGCTGTATTCATTTGTATGCTGATGACACCCAGCTGTATTTCACTCTTGATTCTGATGACCCATCACAGCTAGAGCACAATATGGAACACTGTATGTCTGATATCAAGAAATGGATGACAAACAATTTCCTTCAACTGAATTCTTCTAAGACTGAAGTCATCGTTATATCCTCTAAATTTGACTCAACAAATATTCCAGCCTCTCTACAGATTGTTAAGGATCAAGAGCCACATGTTGTTAGTGGAACTGTGAAGAGTCTTGGGCTGTATTTGGACAGTTATCTTTCAATGAGTGATCAGATTACGTCAGTGGTTCAAGCATGTAATATTTAGATCAGAAATTTGTGGTTTATTGCATCAAAACTGTCTTTTAACCTTAAGATTCAGCTTGTTCATGCTCTAGTACTCTCTAGAATTGATTATTGCAATAGCGTATATTTTGGACTGAGCTCTTATGATTTAAGTCGTTTACAGAAGGTGCAAAATTCTGCTGTAAGATTTATTTTCGGGAGAGGAAGAAAGGCACACACTACTCCACTTCTTAAGAAAGTTCATTTTCTACCAGTTAGATTTAGAATAGATTTTAAGATTGCCCTACTTGCCTACAAGTGTTTAAATAATATAGCTCCTCCTTACTTAAAAGAGTTGATATCTCCTAGGCAGCAAAGTTTAAAAAATGTACGTCTTGATAATGATTATTTTTACCTTAGTTTTCCGCCCTCTCCTAACTATGTAAACACAGAGAAAGCTTTTAGTCACTGTGCAGTTAAAGTATTTAATTCCTTGCCATACGACATAAGATCAGCTGAGTCAGTTACATCTTTCAAGACCAAACTTAAAACATACTTCTTTTCTCTAGCATTTGATTGATTTTGCATTTACATATGAACTTGTCATGTCTAATTTTCAATTAAACTAAGCTCAGTTAATGTAAGAGCCGCTTTAGAAAGCACTGGAGTTTATCTCCAGGATTAAATTATATCGAGTTATATGATTTAGCTATAAGGCGGTTTATAAATGTTGTATTTATTTATTATTATTATAATGCTATAGGACCTCAAAAATAGTATTATAAAACATTTCTATTTTATCCCTACACATTTGTAAATAACTAGAATTGTGTAACCTTAAATTATTTCAGAATTATAACTATTGTGAATTCAATAAAATAATTATCACTTTTGTATCCTTGTATCCTTGTATCCTTGTATCCTAGATAAATGCAAAATTAAGCAGCCTTTGAAGGACACTATAGCAATGTTATTCAGTGCCCTCCACATTTTATTCCGGGTGATATGATGTTAAGAAAGGTGAATATTCAGGGTACTGAAAAATAGTATAACAGGTCAACTCTATTAGGATGACTCTCCTGAGTGTTTCTCCAGTTATAGAGGGTATGCAAAAGTTCTTCTTCCAGAGACAGAATGATTTCTACCAGCTGGATAATTTTCACCAGCCGATCCCTTTTATTATTTTCCTTTATCTTGTCTCCAAGTCCAACCCCCGGCACATTCCTTGGTCTGAATGTAGCCAAGCAGCTCTTTAGAGTAGAGATCCCTCCCTATCAGTCAACTCTTTGGTGTACTCTTTTAGATGTAAGAGTATTTCATGCTCAAGCTCCTTCCAATAAGGCTCTTGGATCTCCAATGAGTATGTACACTAGCCATGAGAGACAGAAGCAAAACATGTACAACAAAAGGATTGTCGAAGTAGAACATGGAACATTTACACCAATAGTCCTATCAACAACAGGTGGAATGGGAAGAGAAGCAAATACTTTTTCAAAAAGTTAGCTGATAGAATGTCTAGAAAATCAGGACAAAGATACAGTGAGGCATTGAAAACAACAATTATAGCTCTTAGAGGAGAAAGAGGGATAAAAAGTGGTAGCGCTGTTAAAATATCAGAACTAGATTTTAAATTTTCTACTACTTAAAGGGTTTTTATAAAATTTACTAAGATTTTTTATTGAATTTCATATTGAATTTTTATATAGGGTCAATGCTATACATTATGTGTATTTTGTTTGAATTTTTTCCATCGCCTTAAAAAGGCAATAGATGGTTAGAAGTGGTAGGATTTGAGAATGGGTATAGTGGGTATAGGATTTTCGTGGTGTCACAAAGCAAAACATGCATTACCCTCCGCAAACACGTGCTCCTTTACAAATTATCACGTGATGGTCGCGCGCGCGCATTTTACACTGCTTTTATGTCAAGGTGTACTCTATACCAAGAATAGAGCTAATGAATCGTGTGAGTCGCGCATGTATATCTCTTTTCGCTATTATACATTTTGTTTCGCATTGATATAAATGTCGTTTAAGCTTTCGTTAACTTCATGCGATACAAACTTCTCATTTTGTTGTGGGTGCTTGGTGCAACCACAGACTTGGCTCCCAATATTAGTTATCCGTTATGTTATTTATATAACATTTAAACTATTGTCCAATTTTTTACATTAAATGAAAATAAACTATGGTAGAGTTCAGCTCAGGTCATATCTCAGTTCAGATCATGTCTCTAATTGGAAAATTCGGTGTCCGGTCGTTTAACTTTCGGTTCAAATAATTGACAACGGCAACCCCTCCATTTTGTTCTCTGTAATTCTCTGGTAATTTAACCATTATGAAACGATTGTTAATTGTAATTAATTACGGTCGATGGAAATCTAGCGTCCGCTAACCGGCGCAATTCTTGTTAAATTTTAAATAGGTGACATATTTTTGAAAAAAAAGTTTTCCAATCTAGGTGGATCTTCACGGATTTGCTATGATTTACAATGTTGTCATGCTTTATCGACGTCATTTCAAAGTTTTCACTCATGGGTTATGTTCTAGAACCATAATATAATATATCACACTTCTCAAATTTAGTATGTTTTATACTTTCTTTTTTTTTCACTCTTTGGTGTAGTCCAATCTTTTCTTGTCCTTGTAGGTGTCCCAGTGGAATAAATATTTAAAAAGCACTTTTTTGTCACACCTTAATGGGGCGAAAGTTGTCCAAATTTTCTGTTTTTTTAGGGGGTGCAAAATATGCTCCCAGGGCTGGCCAAAACTGTAGGGGCAGCAAAAATAATGTATGACTTGCATTTTTATCGAACATCAGACAAATTTAGCAGGCGGCACACAGGTATGTTTCGCCACTGTCTCAGTTGTATACATCACAAGTCACAATATGCCATCAGCCAATTTCAACAAACACAGATTGTATGTGACAAGATAATCAGTCTTAACCTAGACTAACAATCCTAGTGATGATCCCGACAGTAAGAGTTCCTGCCAACTTTGGAAGAGAATTGATAAACTCCCCAGTACATGGTAACCTGGTGCTGAATCTGAGAGATGGATCAGTGTTGAGGGTAAACTCAATCATAATGTCCCTCAACAGTCCAGTTATTGGAAATATGACCACCAATCTTGGTCAGGTACTGAGAGAAAATATAATGCAGATTTTGATAAGTTACAGTTATAAAATTTAAGTTGTTAAACAAAGTAAGTGTTATTTAAAGATATAATATAACTTGTGTTTCATATTTCCATTACCTACTCGTATTTTCATGACGTTTTAACTCGTAAAAATCAAATTTTTTAAGTTTAACATTTTGTATTTCAGTCTTCACTAGAGATGGACGACTTTAGTGTTGAAGCAGTACATTGTTTTGTGGATGCTATGTACTCTGGTGAATCTGAGATGCTGGAGAGAGTAAACTTTGAGGACGTTAACAAGATGGCCCACGTTTTTGGTGTGGGGTGGTTTAGAAAGAAATGTTTAAAGTTCTTTAAAACACATGTCTTGAACTTTGAAAACAATTCTTATGAGGAGATTTTGTTTGCCTGCGAGATTGCCAGTCGTGCAAACTTCAACTTGAAACAGAGCAAGTTTGTGGGGTTATTTGTCAGAAACATGACATCCAGGAACATTGGAAAAAGGCTATTTCTACGGAAATACATGTCCAACTTTGCTGAGCTGTCAAAACGTCAGATAGACATGTCAATTCAGATAGCAGGTAGAGAATTGAACATTCTGTTTGATTGTTTAATAAGTTATCTCACGTTTGGGTTGAAGTACACAGGATTTGATGAGAACTCTCTGTATTTACTCGAACAAGTAGATATGAGGCTATTTCAGCAAAGATATCCGGACCAGTTTGTTGAAGTAGTAGACCTGATGACTGAACTGTCGGGAGGATCTGAGAGTAGTAAAGTGAAAGAGTTGGTAGAAAAGGTGGTCAAGTTGAGGAGTGAAGGTGGTGGTTCTAATGAGGTGCTAGAAGACAGTCAATGTAGTGGAGATCCAGAAGATAGTGATGATGAAGATGTACAGGAGAGTTGTAGACACGTTGCTATCCAAACTGATGAGGTTAAAATAGGTAAATGGAATGTTTAAATTGGAAGGGTGAACACTGAACTTACCTATTATTTAATTTTAATTTCTTATGTTTGTAATATGTCTGCTAATTTTGCTTTTAAATAGAGCAAACTTAGCAGATCTAATATAAATGGACACGTTCATTTGAGTTTGAGGATATTGGTAAACAAAAATGATAGCGTTTTCGAGGATAGTGGCTTAATTTTGACATCTATTAAGCTAGCACGTTCAGAAGTTCTGAACATTAGCCACGTAACCCATACTCCCATATGCACTGCTCAGAAAGAAAATCTATTGTTGTTAGGCACTATAATGGTTCAAATGTCACATTTTGTGTGACTTAGTTAACTGCAGTTGTCTAATTATCATTCCTTGGTCTAAAATATAGTAGATTAGGTCAATCTAACAATTATGATACAACATTGGTTAAAGGGCACGGATCGAACGGTTACAAGGCAATATTTGGGTAACTTTGTCACACTCAGAATACCAAACCTCTATTCTACTGTGAGGTGTCCTCAAAAACCTTTTAACTCATTATTTGATGGTTGATCTACCAATCATAGCCCTAAAATATGTTGTTTCGAATAGTTAGCTAATACAGGAACTTGGTTATTGGGAAATGAGGTTAATTCTGTCACAATATATGGAATTTTAAATTTTGGGCGAATTATTTATATCTGTTTTTGGTTTGAAAGGCGGGAAAACTTTACATGATGACAATGTAGTTGATGCAAGTTAAGATCAGTGATGTTTACATTGTCACAAAAAATGATACGAAATCGTAAATAGGTTAAAAACAATGATTATAGAATGAAATAGTCTCTTATAATAACTCTTATAATAACTGATGTGACAAAGTAAACATGTCTTGCCCCTATTTTAAAGATCTATATATTCTATGACTCTATTAGAATTCAACATTCTTTCAGAAAAAAATCGGTAGAATATTGTCCAGAACATCAGAGCTCAAGTTTAACAATTTTAGGTTAAATTTGTCAGTCACCAAAAATGTGACAAAATTAACTTTTCCTGCCCCAAAAATTTCAAGATAGTGTGTAAAAATTAGCATAGGCTGCCTTATTACCTATATAAATCAATCCCAACTACGAAAAGATCTGTTAATCTTATGACGATTACCTAACTCTTATAATAACTGATGTGACAAAGTAAACATGTCTTGCCCCTATTTTGAAGAGCTATACCTCTATTAGAATACTATGTAACTTTATCATCAATGAACTAGTTATTTAGCCAGCAAGGAGCTAACAGAGTTATAATAATTTGTTTGTGACGAAATTACCCTATTTTTGACCATGTTGCAGTAGTTTAATTGTGACACTGTTAACATATTACCACCCGATAATGATTTATGTGACTGGTGCGTGGTACATGCAGTGTTGTTTGATCCATAGTACGTAATATAAGGGGTTTAAGCTAATATATCATTATTTGTTCAATTTCACACATGTTCAGATATCATCAAGATTATGTGACAAAGTAAACTTGTTTGTGCCTTCTGTGTTTTAATCCTTACGACTATATGATATAATAACAATTCCTAGCACTTCCAGGCCATCAAATAAACCTACACTACTCAGCATTGCTTATCAGGGTGCCCTAAACATTCTTCACATGTTTTCTTAAATGTGTGACAGAGTAAACCTGAGTGCACCATCTAACGAAAAAACTCGTCAAATATGTAGGTAATGGTCATATGTACCCATCCAATCAACTGGACACTTAAAAATTTGGTCAAAAACGGCAGCAAGGGGTCCATATTTACTCCGTCACATGTTTATAGTGTGACAATGTAACCATTTCCGTGCCGGCCGTATTTAAGCGATATCTTATCAGCTGATTAAGATATCGTTAAGTGACAAAGTTAGCCTAGAGGATGAGACGATTATCCTAACCATCAAGGGTTTGTGTAATTTCATAGTGTGACAAAGTCAACTACACTGTGCCTTTTAATAGGGTCACTTATATTTACCAATATCCTCAAACTCAAATGAACGTGTCCAAATATTATAATAAATTACAGGTTGTATACAGCCTTTAATTGATACATTGTTTGTTTAGTTTGAGTACATTTGTTCAGATTAATGTCCCTGCTAATTATAGTTAATAACTAATTTATTTTCAGGTCAGATTGCTGTACAAACTGATGAGGTTAAAACAGGTAAATAGAATGTTTACATTGGGAGCGTAGGGTAAACGTAACTGTTACTTAGTTTGAATACAGCTGTTCATAATTTTTCAGCTAATTATAATTGATATCTAATCAATTTGCAGATTGCATTACCATAGAAACTGATGAGATTAAAACAGGTAAATATAAATTTATTATTATCAGTTGGTACCTACTAATGAACATACACATTTAACTTTTAACTCAAATTTTATGTCTATAGTTAGTTATATTACTAATTTTTGAGTTAATCATTTAATTGTCAGTTACACGTCGTGTCACTTTATTTGTTCATTGCAACTAATTTATTTGCAGGTTGGATACAGCCTGTGATTGGCACACACTATCCCCTGTTACCAGACGAACCAGTACAGTTAATAACAACAGATAATGAGTTACAGAGAGGTATTGTTGTGTTGTATACTCTACGTGTAGAGGGTAGTCCTTATGAGATGGTGTTTGCGATGAGATGTGAGAATATAAACACCAGTCAGTGGAGTTATGTTATTGATAATTGTACTGTATTTAGTTATAATACACAGTACTTAGACAGTGTTCCACCTGACAAAGTAAAACACTGGATTATTACTAAAACTTGTACCCACCTAAAGGTTGTGTGTAACAATGTGACAGTACTCAGCTTTAACTTTGCTACTGACTACTCAACAGGTTATGAGACTAGTCACCAGGTTTGGTTGAGAAGATTCAGTAATTTGAGATTCCTTAGCTATTACAACATGACTAATATTCTTTTAAGAACTGTAAGTTAATGTACTACAATCTGAACAACCTTATGAACTGATCGGTAATATTTCAAAATGTTGTTACGATTTAATGTATGTACTTAGACTAACTTACGTATTGTATACTTACGTATGTTATATGTATACTTATATACACTATACAGTTAGTTTATTTAAAGTCTGTTTTAATTAAGTTCAGGTTTAAATAGAATTTCCTTATTTCTAATTAATAAATTCTGAGAACTCATCGTCTAGTTTACCGAAAATGAGTGAACTTCGATTTTTAGGGGAGTTTTGGAGGAAACTGTAATCTTAAAATGTAGTACCATTTTCATTTACATTGTCAATCAGTAATTAATATATTTATGAATTTAATCAGTTGTACTGCGAGGATATTTACATCTTCCCACACTCATGATTGTCAATTATTTTGGCCCATATTGTTAAATTTTCTGTATCAAAATATCAATATCACTTGATTTTTAATATCGAATTTATAACAAACTAAACTTCAGCAGATCAAGCTGCTCTGGGTTTTATTTCTTCAAGTTATAATTTTAACTGTGAGTCCAATATTTATTGTGCTATTTAATTTTAGGAAGGAATAAATAGGCTCCCAGTAAAAATAAACTTTCAGTAAAAATCTTTATTAGCTTAATGTTTTACAATTAATATTACGGTTGGAAGAGACCCTTCCTTTTTAGTTATGATTTATAATTTTAAGACATTTTTCTCGAGTCTTCTTTTTAAGTGACAGTTACAAAATAAGTTTACTGTTCTTATTTTTGCTGTTCCATGCTTTACACTACTTGTATTTTTTGTATCTATTATATTTTTATTTGTCTCTGGGGTTAGTATGGGCTACAGCGAATAATTGAACTCATATTTCTAGTAGCTGAGTTGTATACATCACAAGTCATAATATGTCATCATCCAATTTCAACAAACACAGATTGTATATGACAAGATAATCATTCTTAACCTAGGCTAACAATCTTAGTGATGATCCCGCCAGTAAGAGTTCCTGCCAACTTTGGTAGAGAATTGATCAACTCCCCAGTACATGGTAACCTGGTGCTGAATCTTAGAGATGGATCTGTGTTGAGGGTAAACTCGGTCATAATGTCCCTCAACAGTCCTGTTATTGGAAACATCACCACCACTCTTTGTCAGGTAATGAGAGAAAATATAATGCAGATTTTAATAAGTTACAGTTATAAAATTTAAGTTGTTAAACAAAGTTAGTGTTATTTAAAAATATAATATAACTTGTATTTCATACTTCCATTACTCATATTTTTATGACGTTTTAACTCGTCACTATAAAATGTATTTAAGTTTAACATTTTACTATTTCAGTCTTCACTAGAGATGGACGACTTTAGTGTTGAAGCAGTACATTGTTTTGTGGATGCTATGTACTCTGGTGAATCTGAGATGCTGGAGAGAGTAAACTTTGAGGACGTTAACAAGATGGCCCACGTTTTTGGTGTGGGGTGGTTTAGAAAGAAATGTTTAAAGTTCTTTAAAACACATGTCTTGAACTTTGAAAACAATTTTTATGAGGAGATTTTGTTTGCCTGCGAGATTGCCAGTCGTGCAAACTTCAACTTGAAACAGAGAAAGTTTGTGGGGCTATTCGTCAGAAATATGACATCCAGGAACATTGGAAAAAGGGTATTTCTACGGAAATACATGTCCAACTTTGCTGAGCTGTCAAAGCGTCAGATAGACATGTCAATACAAATAGCCGGAAAAGAATTAAACATTCTGTTTGATTGTTTAGTGAGTTATCTCACGTTTGTGTTGAAGTACACAGGATTTGATGAAAACTCTCTGTATTTACTCGAACAAGTAGATATGAGACTATTTCAGCAAAGATATCCGGACCAGTTTGTTGAAGTAGTAGACCTGATTACTGAACTGTCGGGAGGATCTGAGGGTGGTCAAGTGAAAGAGTTGGTAGAAAAGGTAGTCAAGTTGAAGAGTGAAGGTGTAGCTGGTGGTTCTGATGAGGTGCTAGAAGACAGTCAATGTAGTGGAGATTCTGAAGATAGTGATGATGAAGATGTACAGGAGGGTTGTAGACACGTTGCTATTCAAACTGATGAGGTTAAAACAGGTAAATGGAATATTTGATTTGGAAGGGTGAACACTGAACTTACCTATTATTTAGTTTTAATTTCATATTATGTTCGTAATATGTCTGCCAATTTTTCTTTTAAATAGAGCTTTAGAGCAAACTCAGCAGATCTAATATAAATATAAAAATAATTTACAGGTTGTATACAGCCTTTAATTGACACAATATTTGTTCAGTTTTAGTACACTTGTTCAGATTAATGTCCATGTTAATCATAGTTAATAATAATCGATATTTATTTTCAGGTCAGATTGCTGTACAAACTGATGAGGTTAAACCAGGTTAATAGAATCTTTACATTGGAGCGGAGGGTAAACGTAACTGTTGCTTAGTTTGAATGTACATCTATTCATAATTTTTGAACAGCTAATTATAATTGATATCTTATCTATTTTCAGATTGCATTGCCATAGAAACTGATGAGATTAAAACAGGTAAATGGAATGTTATTATTATCATTTGGTACCTACTAGCACTAATTAACATACACATTTTAAACTTCACTCAAATTTTATGTCTCTAGTTAGTTATAATATTACTAATTTTTGAATTAACCATTTAAGTTTTAGTTACACGTACCGTCTTGTCACTTAATTTGTTCATTGTAACTAATTTATTTGCAGGTTGGATACAGCCTGTGATTAGCACACCCTACCTCCTGTTACCAGACGAACCAGTACAGTTGATAACAACAGATAATGAGTTACAGGAATATATTGTTATGCAGTATACTCTACCTGTAGAGGGTAGTACTGATGAGAGGATGTTTATTATGAGATGTGAGAATAAAGACACCAGTCAGTGGAGTTATTTTATTGAGGGGTGTACTGTATTTAGTTTCAATACACAGTTCTTAGACAGTGTTCCACCTGATAAAGTAAAACACTGGATTATAACTAAAACTTGTACCCACCTAAAGGTGGTGTGTAACAATGTGACAGTACTCAGCTTTAACTTTGCTACTGACTACTCACCAGGTAATGAGACTGATCACCAGATTTGGTTGAGAAGATGCAGTAATTTGAGATTCAATAGCGAGTACAATATGACTTATATTCTTTTAAGAACTGTAAGTTAATTTAATACAATCTAAACAATAACCTACCCTATAAACTGATCGGGAATATTTTCATAATTTTGTTATGATTTAATATAATATGTACTTAGACTACTTACGTATTGTATACTTACATATGTTATATGACGTGTACTTATACAGTTTAGTTAGTTTGTTTAAAATCTGTTTTAATTAAGTTCAGGTTTAAATAAAATTTCCTTATTTCTAATTAATAAATTCTGAGATCTCATCGTCTAATTTACCGAAAATTAGTGAATTTCGATTATTGGGGCAGTTTTGGAGGAAACTTTAATCTTAAAAATATGTAGTACCATTATCATTTACGTTGTCAATCAGTAATTAATATATTTATGAATTTAATCAGTTGTACCGTGAGGATAATTACATCTTACCACAGTCATGATTGTCAATTATTTTAGCTTAACGTTTTACAATTAATATTATGCTTGGAAAAGATGCTTCCTTTTTAGTTCTGATTTATAAGTTTTTTAAAGTGACAGTCTCAAAATAAGTTTACTGTTGCTATTTTTGCTGTTCTATGCTTAACACTTCTGGTTTTTTTTGTATCCATTATATTTTTATTTGTCTCTGGGGTTAGTATGGACTACAGCAAATAATTGAACTCATATTTCTAGTAGCTGAGTTGTATACATCACAAGTCACAATATGCCATCAGCCAATTTCAACAAACACAGATTGTATGTGACAAGATAATCATTCTTAACCTAGACCAACAATCCTAGTGATGATCCCGCCAGTAAGAGTTCCTGCCAACTTTGGTAGAAAATTGATAAACTCCCCAGTACATGGTAACCTGGTGCTGAATCTGAGAGATGGATCAGTGTTGAGAGTAAACTCGGTCATAATGTCCCTCAACAGTCCAGTTATTGGAAATATAACCACCAACCTTTGTCAGGTACTGAGATAAAATATAATTTAGATTTTAATAAGTTACAGTTTTACAATTAAAGTTGTTAAACAAAGTTAGTGTTATTTAAAGATAATATAAAATAACTTGTGTTTCATATTTCCATTACTCATATTTTCATGTTGTTTTAACTCGTAAAAATAAAATTTGTTTAAGTTTAACATTTTCTATTTCAGTCTTCACTAGAGATGGACGACTTTAGTGTTGAAGCAGTACATTGTTTTGTTGATGCAATGTACTCTGGTGAATCTAAGATGCTGGATAGAGTAAACTTTGAGGACGTTAACAAGATGGCCCACGTTTTTGGTGTGGGGTGGTTTAGAAGGAAATGTTTGAAGTTCTTTAAAACAGATGTCTTGAACTTTGAAAATAATTCTTTCGAGGAGATTCTGTTTGCCTGTGAGATTGCCAGTCGTGCAAACTTCAACTTGAATCAGAGCAAGTTTGTGGGGCTATTTGTCAGAAACATGAATTCCAGGAACATAGGAAAAAGGGTATTCCTACGGAAATACATGTCCGACTTAGCTGGCCTGTCAAAACGTCAGATCAACATGGCAATTCAGATAGCTGGTAGAGAATTGAACATTCTGTTCGATTGTTTAATCAGTTATCTCACGTTTGGGTTGAAGTACACAGGATTTGATGAGAACTCTCTGTATTTACTCGAACAAGTAGATATGAGTCTATTTCAGCAAAGATATCCGGACCAGTTTGTTGAAGTAGTAGACCTGATTACTGAACTGTCGGGAGGATCTGAGAGTGGTAAAGTGAAAGAGTTGTTAGAAAAGGTGGTCAAGTTGAGGAGTGAAGGTGTAGCTGGTGGTTCTGATGAGGTGCTAGAAGACAGTCAATTTAGTGAAGGTTCTGAAGATAGTAATGATGAAGATGTACAGGAGGGTTGTAGACACGTTGCTATTCAAACTGATGAGGTTAACTCAGGTAAATGGATTGTTTGAATTGGAAGGGTGAACACTGAACTTGCCTATTATTTAGTTTTAATTTCATATGTTTGTAATATGTCTGCTAATTTTTCTTTTAAATAGAGCAAACTAAGCAGATCTAATATAAATATTACCTATAATAAATTACAGGTTGTATACAGCCTTTAATTGACACATTGTTTGTTTAGTTTGAGTACACTTGTTCAGATAAATGTCCCTGCTCATCATAGTTAATAACTTATTTATTTTCAGGTCAGATTGCCAGACAAACTGATGAGATTAAAACAGGTAAACAGAATGTTATTATTATCATATTTTGGTACCTACTTATTAACATACACATTTTACTCTTCACCCAAATTTTATGTCTCTACCAGTTGGTTATATAATTATTAATCTTTTGAGTTAACCATTTAATTGTCAGTTACACGTCGTGTCATTTTGTTTATAATTCATTTTCATTAATTTATTTGCAGGTTGGATACAGCCTGTGATTGGCACATTGTATCCCCTGTTACCAGACGAACCAGTACAGTTCATAACAACAGATAATGAGAAACAGGAATATATTGGTGTGGGTTATACTGTACCTGTAGAGGGTAGTACTGATAGGAGGTGGTTTAATATGAGATGTGAGAATATAAATACCAGTCAGTGGAATTATCTTATTGGGGGGTGTACTGTATATAAATACAATACACAGTACTTAAACAGTGTTCCACCTGATAAAGT